CTCATGATAACCAAACAGCCTAACCTCTACACTATATTCCCCACATTCTCTCACGCACTCAAACAACCCAATTCGCGATAAGAATTCAACTCTAGGAAACTCCCCACATTGAAAGTACCCCAGGCCGGGATCGAACCCACCTCCTCCTCATCCCAATGCTTTGGATGCTTTGGTAGCTCCTTCTTCACCATCGGGAACAACTCCATCTGCTTCACTTCCTTCAAACTATCCTCTTTACCCGACAACATACTCACCGCCTTCAACGTACCTCCACCAAACGACAATCTCGCTCGCCCAAAAATGGCGCGGCTCCATCACTTATGCTGTGTTCGATGTCCGTAGCACATGGTGAAATAGTGGCCATCACATGCAGTAGAGCATCCGGTCTGACGAAGCCTTCCGCGAGGACTCTAGTCAACGCTGAGCCCCGGAAGGGGACGAATCCTACAGGCAAGGCAAAGCATAGCAGAGTTACGATATGCACGCCATTGAAACGATTACAATCACGAAGAACTTCTACTAGAACCAATAACACTTTCGTTTAACCCCAGAAGAGTCGCCAGGGCACCTTTATCGAGCCTTTTGGGGCATCAGTTTTTTTCCAAATATTCAAAAAATTTTGCCCAGAAATTTCAAAACTCGCCAAAAACTCCCCTGAAGTGGAAACTATATATTCCGAAAACCCATTGACATGCAGCATTGATAGATCACTCGGGCGCGCGCTTTTGCCGCCTCACCCCACCTTCTTTCTCCACCGACACACTACTGCTGCTGCTATTGTTGTTGTGGTGATGGCGTAGCATTCTATATCGAATGCACTCCTTCAGGGCGTGTAAGCTCGCATTGATCTCGGCCCCTTCCTGTTGGCGAACCTTGTCGTGATAAAAGGAATCTTTACGGCGCTCAGTGCCTGACAGAAGAATAGATCCGATGGATACTCCTCCTGAATCCGAATAAAACTGCGGCCAAGCAGATTCGAACCCACAACCACCATCGAGATAACCCCACCACCTAACCACTCCACCAAATGTCCTTACCAGCACAGTCAACCAACACCAACGACCCACTTCCCGAATCACCCGGCTTCGCTATAGTAATCCTAAGATCGTACCATACCACACAAGCAACAAAACATCCCTCCCCA